TTGCTTTCACAGTCCAAAGATCAAAACTGCAGCCATGTTTTCAAGGAACAAATGTCTTACCAGCTGGGCTGGTGTGAACACAGATATAATGCTGACAGGAAGCCGAGGCAGTCACTTGTAGAGCCAATTATTGGCAGAGCCGTGGGGGCAGGTTTACAAACACCGCTTTTCTTGTGTCGCGCTACTCTAAGGTATATGATTAACTTCCTTACTGAAAGTACCCTGGCAGCCGGGAGTCTGCCCACTCTGTAGGTGGCAAAGCTGGTGAGTCGTGGCAAACCACATATGACACCAGACTACCGAGCAAAACAAAAATTGGGCTGCGACTAAAAGGCTTCATTTTGTTGTTTTTATTACTGACTATACTTCCACATTCTTTAGCTTTTAATGGGCCTTCTTTAGAACATGTTTAACCGTTTGGTTAAGTTTTACAGTGTTGCTGTCACTGGGAGAATGCAGGTTATAGGCCTCTCCTGAAGCCACAGAAGCTCTGCATTCTCTATTGGATTCAGGAGGAATTCAAACTGACCCATCCGAAGAAAATACCTTTGCTTTCGGAAGGCTAATTACAGGGCTTTCGATGAATGGAGGTTGAGGGAGAAACTTAATTAACCAGTCTCTAGATTACCCTACATTATTCCACTGCTGCATTCCCCCAACCAAAAATAATTTTCTGGGGATCACAGGATTTTTCCTGAACAATTATTTTAAAAATAAAGAAAAGTAATTCCCTGGTGTTCAATCTTGTTTGAATCAAAATAAGGAGAGACAGTGAGTGCCTCCTCCCATGTGGCATTGTTGTGGTGGCAGAACAGGGTTACCAGCAAACAACAGTCTTTTAACTATCCATGGACGATCAGGCCTCCTTCACTGACAAATTTAAAACGTTCCTTTCACCACATCTGCCCTATTTGTGCGGCCTTTTATTCACCTGACTTGCTCAAGAGATTCGCTTTATCTTAAAGGTCATTTCATTCAACTGGGCAACAAACAGAAGTGAATATAACTGTCCCCAATCTTTCCCTCGCAGAATTCATGCCTGAGTTGCCTCAAATAAAGAAGGTCCCTGCAAGCTAGAAGAAGGAGCTCACAATCAGCTCCATAGGGGCAGCTCTATATAAAAGACTCCCTGTATCATACAGTCCCCCTTTACAACTCTACATTTCCATTTAATGACACCCTACATATTAACCCTGGTCAGTATCCAATTACACAGAATAAGTGAATTATCTGTGCCAGCATGCAATTTAAAAATGTTTTTCATGCAATGAGGGGACAAGGGGGAGCAGGGGGCCCTTTTTTATCAATCCAGCGTTCATTAAAGAGCGAGCTTGTGAGTTACTTTGAATCCATTAACTCTAAATACAGGTGATTCCCAGCCCCTTTATACACAGGACCACCGAGATTCCCTGTCATGGAGTGTTATAGAGTGACACCAACACAACTGATTTGATGAGCTTTCTTCCCCAGGCCAGCACTCAACCACACACACTGGCCATGCAACCAACAACACTTCATTCATATTTAATTACAGCCTGCTAACATCGCTCGCAGATAGTATTACACCCGGCAAAAATGGAGGGAAGAACTGTTATGAAATTAAAAAACATAGCAGAGATGTTATTTTTTGAGTGGCTGACATAATGCAATTAGGATTTCTCATTTAGAACGCACAAAGAGGCAGTGAGGGCAGCACCTATCTCTCTTTTAATGGCATGTAAATAACACCAGGTGGTGAATATTAAGTATCAAACTTGGGACACAGCAGTCTGTGTCACATGACCCACCTCTGTGGGTGTAAAGTCACTGCTGGCCTCCCAGGCGACAAGCTTTTGTGTGTGTGTGTGTGAGTGTGGAGGGAGGGGGGTTTGAGTTAGAAGAGATGACCAGATGAGAGTTGGCTGAGTCCAGCCAAGCCATGTCAAGTTACTGAGTGCTACTCACACAACAGTTGAGCTGTGCATACACACCAGAAGCCATATTTGTGCTTAGAGGGAACACCCATACCTGCTACATACTTGTAATGTCTCTGTATACAGAAGCTATATTTTTTTCAAAGACCGTGTTACACCATATTTCCAATGCAGTTATGGAGTGAACCAGTGTATTAAATCTAAAACATCGACAGTAAATATTAGGTTTTGGTGTCGATATCATCAGTGCAACCTGCCATTTGCACTGGTGTTTTGCAATCACACAGGTGGAGTCCATCATAGAGAGAAACAGATACAAATTGCCCTCCTTATTTTCCAGGGAAGATTGTCAGTCGCCCTCACACTTTTCTTCATGGTGACAGATTTTCTCCCATATTTTGATCACATTCTGAATCTGTTTATTTCCACAAAAACTAACCTCTATACAATACATTCTAATGCAGGAGATTACAGACCTAAGCAAGTATAACTGAGGCAGGTTGAAGGAAACACACAAACAACAAAAAACCCCCACTAATTCCTTGAACATTATAGACTCAGGATAGCAATTTCTAGAATATCCGATGGTCGGTGTGGAGGTCCCCTTTCATTTCTTGCTGTTGTGCTACCATGAGGTAGCTGGAGGTCCAGCTGCTCGCCAAAGACTTGTGGAGTGATCCAAGAGTGTGACTCTTTCTTTTCTGTATTGCAATAAATTATCAAGACTCTTTCTAACAGACTGGCAGCCACAACTGATGACTTTCTCATATCCACAGTTGACAGCGATCTGATACATCACCATTCTTATGCCAGTGATAGACTGTCATTAAGAGTCTGCAGCATGAAATGAGACACACCACTCTACCTCGTCCTTCATAGTTTATGTACTGTACAGTAGGACAGGTTCATTTTCAGCTGATAGCTCTTACATGGATAAGAAACTAATGCTTTGGAATAGACACATACACACACCCCACACATGCCACACAAGCACAAACACTCAACGGTGTGTGATCGTCTCTTGGCGCGCTGGCGCCTGTCACTCAGCGGGGTCCTGGAATATGCACCAGGGCCATCGACAGGAGTCTGTGTCAATGCCTGACAAACCTCAAGACACCAGGCTGTAATTGGAACGACTGGCCTAATCCTCAGATCAAGACAGACTCATTGACAACCTAAGCGGGCGGCAATCCCAGCAGCGCCTTATTAGTGGAGCTGGTCTCTTCGCTGGGAACACTGATGTCATCACTGCCAGCCAAAAGACACTGCCTTGGCCATGCAAGGTATTTCACAAAAAAGCATAATGATGGTGGGTTTTGTATCATGGATATGTTATGTGGGCTGTTTCTATCTATTTGATCTATTTTTTTACGTATATATTTTGTCCTGCACTAACACACATTCATACCTGGAAACTACAGGGAGAGAGCAGGTTTGGCACTCGTTTACTGGACCAGTATTTCTATCTCAGTATAGATATGCAATGGTAACGTTTTCATACATAAAAATCATGAGTGCTCTTTACCTTCCAATTTTATTTTACGTTACTCCATCTTGGTATAACTTTTATGCCTAATATAAGGTCAATCATATAAAGTAGAAACATATACATTGAAATTACACTTGCTGTGTGAACACCAATTTATGACTTCATTGGATGGCATGCCTCTGTCTTATTCCTTAAAAAAATGAATCATAAACTAATAAATCACCCAAAAGTGACTGTATATCAAGAGAAAATGGTGGGTTAATGGTTATGACGTGGATCTTGTTATCATTAGTTAAACCTGTCTGAACCCTGGATTTTTTTTCTGCTGTTCATAAGAGTCAGGAGTGGAACGAATGCTGGAAAAGATGCACAGTCAACTTCACTGAACAAAATTCTAAACGCAAAACTTTTGATTTTGCCCCCATTCATCATGAGCTGAACTCAAAGATCTAAGACTTTCTCTATGTACACAAAAGGCCTATTTCTCTCAAATATTGTTCACAAATCTGTCAAAATCTGTGTTAGTGAGCACTTCTCCTTTGCCAAGATAATCCATCCACCTCTCAGGTGTGGCATATCAAGATGCTGATCGGACAGCATGGGTATTGCACAGGTGTGCCTTAGGCTGGCCACAATAAAAGGCCACTCGAAAATGTGCAGTACTATCACATAGCACAATGCCACAGATGTCGCAAGTTTTGAGGGAGTGTGCACTTGGCATGCTGACTGCAGGAATGTCCATAAAAGCTGTTGCCCATAAATTGAAACATCATTTCTCTACCATAAGCCTTCTCCAAAGGCGTTTCAGAGAATTTTATTGATGGCATTTTGAATGCACAGAGATACTGTGATGAGATCCTGAGGCCCATTGTTGTGCCATTTATCCACGACCATCACCTCATGTTGCAGCATGATAATGCATGGCCCCATGTTGCAAGGATCTGTACACAATTCCTGGAAGCTGAAAACATCCCAGTTCTTGCATGGCCAGCATACTCGCCGGACATGTCACCCATTGAGCCTGTTTGGGATGTTCTGGTTCGGCGTATACAACAGCGTGTTCCAGGTCCTGCCAATATCCAGCAACTTCGCACAGCCAATGAAGAGGAGTGGACCAACAGGCCACAATCAACAACCTGGTCTACTCTATGCGAAGGAGATGTGTTGCACTGCGTGAGGCAAATGGTGGTCACACCAGATACTGACTGGAAGGCCCAAGTGCATTTATAATTTTGTTCAGTGTATATTCAAATACCATTTTAAAGCAAATTTATGATAAATGTAGTACAGCATTATGTTTGTGGACAATGAAAAATCATGTTGATCATATAAACTCCAGTATTCGATATTTTGGGAAATGCACTTATTTGCCTTCTTGCAGAGAGTTTCAGCTACAGCCAGCAGCTGGTTAGTTTTGCTTGGCATAAAGACTGGCTCTGTCCAAAGATAACAAAATTTGCCTACCAGCATGTCTAAAGCTCACTAATTAAAATGGTACATCCTTTTTCAAAATGCCTCAGATGAGCAGGTGAGGTTTGTTAAATGTTTAATACAGCACTTGGGGTTTTAATGACTTTTATCAACAGTGACTTTCTGTGTAGTACTTGATCTTTTGAGATTTTATTGATGGTACTGTCCCAAACCAATGTTTTAGTGTAAAATACCTTAAACACTAGAATATAAAAATGAAACATCAGCTGTGGAAGATTAACCCACCAGGACAAGCCACCTGCCTGTAGACAGTGCAGTACATGTAAGGAATCACTCACACTAACACAGCTTGCATCGCTTAGAACAGACAGCCTGCAGATAGGCTCTTGCACCCCTTCAGTCTCGGACGAAATAGCCACAATGCTCTCTTGAAATTGCCCTGTATCCTTCTCTCTCACCTCCCAGACTGGTAATCTGCTCTCTGATGGAGGAGAGCATGTAGCAGAGGTCGGCTCTGACACCTTCTTGGCAGAGCCGCAGAGGCTGGCTCCCAATCCCATTCTCAAAAGCCAAGATGCCCAAAACCCCTGACACAGTGTGTTCGTTTGTGGCCCCTTCTAACTGCCTGAGATATCCTGTCAATCAGCATATCAGAGGGTTTATGTGAACAGAGACATACAGTATTCACACTCAAGATACAGCACGTTTTAGACCAAATTTCTAGTAGATAAGGTGTTACCACTGTATGAATGTAGGCCTAACAGTAGAGGGAGAAGTAAGAGGAATGCACATGTAGAGATTATTTACCCTCCTTCAATTCTTATGTTTTGAATGACAATATCTGGCCAAAGCTTAAATGGTCATACGATATTGCTATTAGCAACTAATTTCAAAGAACACAGTGTACTTTTCTTTCAACATGCTAAGTAGTCCTTGGAAAAACGTGAGAGCCATCAACCGCATGCAGAGCATGACATGAGTGTTTCTGTGTATGCCTGTGTAGGTGTGTGTATGTGCGTGTGTGCATGTGTGTGTTTGTAGTTCCTGGCTTTTGTAAAGGCACCGGGAAGCTCGAGCCGTCCACCCAGGCATGCCTGTGCAGTGTAACCAAGGCTGACTGGCTGACCTCAGACTGTGTGGGCCCTTTAGCAGAAGATGAAGGAGCTTTTTCATTGACACAGGAACAGGAGGTATCGCCTTCCCTTTGCAGCAGCCCTCATTCATACCAGACACAATGCGTTATTATTGGTTTTGAATTGAAATGTTAATTTTGGGAACTGGGCAACTGGGCCTGAGAGTTTGCCCTGCTCATTTCTCATTTTTCACTTGGCTGAGGCGGTCTGTTTCGGTGGGGAGCGTTAACCCTAAACTCACCATGTGTTGCAGCACCTTGGTTCAGCTAGGTAAGGACTGAGGGCCAAACGCAGCATGCCAGAGCTTTCAACATTTGAACTTGACTGGATGTTGAACAGAGCTCCATCATACAAGCGCTGAAAGGTTAGTGGTAAGAGGTGAAACCTGCAAGACACCGGTCCATACCTAGGGAGCAGCCACTATTGATGCTGAGGTCATGGAGGAAAAAACAGCTCTTTCAAGGCCGGTGGTGTGAGGCAGGCAGGTCAGCACTCTGCTGTACAGCCTCACAGAAATGACTGCATCAGCAGGCCCGGCAGATCTATATGACGGGAATTAAACAGCATAATCAAATTGTTTGCGCAACCATTTAGCATCTCATTCCCTCACGGCCCTGGGCCAAACTGACCACTGGAGACTGGCCATCCACAGCAGTAACAAAGTAGGGCAATAACTAACAGCGATTAAAGGAATATTGATGGCCTGTGACACAGAGCATCCTGAAAAATGCTATTTGGTCAAATAGCTGCAATAATTAAGTATATGAGGGTCAGTCAATTTTATCTGCTGCTTTTATTTGGATCGATTATTTAGTAAACTGGCCAAGCCTCAGAGAGTATTATTGCTAGAGAGTGGGGTGTTGATTTCATAGCGCAAGTGCTTCAGCCAAGTCACACAGTGGCAGCTCACAGTGGAAAGGAAACACACAATGGCAGAAGAAGTGCTACAAATATTACTAACATAAGGATTGAGGGAAAGAAACTAAATATCACCACTATCACTTGATACAAGCTGGATTTTTACACTGTCAGTTACTGTACATGTTGAGCTTGCTCTGTGACATTTTAGCCCTTCATTCTTCATTTCAAAACATTATGTTCTTGATAGCTGAAACCTTTCATACTTTTCCCTGATAGGAAAACATTATTTCCTATTAAATATTCTCACCACAGATTGATAAACATTAGCTGAAAGCAAAAATAATGAGTTCTGGCTGTGAAAAACCTCGTGGATTTAATGTGATGCTGTGGTTAAAAATAAACTAGGCCATTTAGAGGCTTCTCTCCCAGTTGATTGATTAAACATTAACCTGCTGGATCTGGGATATTTTTTATTAATCACAGGTGGCACAGACTTAACTGAGCATGAGAAAGGCATGTACAAAAAGACCCCCACACACAAAACACACGCACACTTACACGTCCATGAAATCACGTAATCATAACATATGCCATTTAGTGTGAGCTTTAATCTGATGAGTGATGCAGTTTTAGTGCCGGTGGAACCAGTGGGAGTCAAACATCTAATTCTCGTGGTGCAATTGGGTTATATACGCAGACACACACACAGACACACAGACATCTCCATATCAAACAGCACATTGTGGGAATTGCCATGACCTAATGCATTTCTTATCTTACATTTGATTACACATTTCACGGAGGAAACCATTTTCCTCTTGGTTACAACAAGATGTCCAATGAGAAAACCAACCTTGACTAAAGAAGTGAATCGTTTTTAAAGGAGTGGGTGGCAGACCTGTGATCTTGACCTGTGAGATACACTGTACAGCAACCCAAAATCCCATAAAAGACAGAACAGAGCAAAATCTCTATCAGACCTTCCTCATTTTCCCACAGTCAGTGACTGAGTAGAAGAACCTATCACACTCCAGTAACGTCACTGAATATTCAGGCACTGTAGCAGGCCATTGCTTTGATCTAGCACTGATGTGGGTGGCCAGTATCCACAACTACAACAGTCTTCAATTTGAGCCTGACAGAGCACTGAACCTGCCACTGAAATAGCTACATTTTTCTTGCTGTAACCACGGGTGACTTTTTTGTGCCTGAGGAGGCTTTTATGAGAAAATTGACAAAGTAAATATCCTTTCAGCTGTTTCCCTGATGAATAATGTACGCAGAGACTGATGGACTGCTTTCAAAAAAAAAAAAAAATAAATCAACAGCTTCAGGGTTGTCCCTGCACATCAGCTGTCATCATGTGATGTGGGTGGCGGTCTTGGCGCTGGGGCTTACGGCAGCACACAGGTGCCCTTTTCACTCCCAGGGTAAAATGACAAATTCAATAAACTCGAGACATCTCTCCGGTGCACCTATGGAATCAAACACACCTGACAAGCGGCTGAAGGGCTTCTTCCTAGTCCCTCAGACATCCCATCTTGACGCTCGATATCAATATCTCTGCGGCTGCAGAATATCTTTCCATCTCACTAGCATGCTTTGACACTGTGAGAAGGAATAAGAATATGTGTCAGAGGTTGTGGGACTTGTGGTAAGATTGCAATGAGGAAATTGAATCTGTGAGATGACATTAACAGAGAGTGTCCCCAACTCTGTGTGTGTTTCAGCCCCAGAGCAGACAGGCCTGGCTAGGGTTACCAAACCGTATTTCTGATGGTGAAAGGGCCACAATCAGCCTACTTAATCTTGAAGCTGTTCTTTAAAACCAAAGAAAGACGATCTGTCTCCATTCTACTGTACAAAACAAGGAAACATGTGATTCATTGTAAAATGGAAATGCACATTAAATTAAATTTGCCTTTAGAGGCAATGAGGACAACCCTTGACTGCAGGTTTTTCTGCGATAACAAAAAAGGTGCTTGTACTCTGTCAAAAGACCCAGTCTCATAAACCTACTCTGACCTGAAAGAACAAACCCTAGACATCAAATTTTAAAGAATTAGCATCACAATGGGCTTAATGTCCCCCTTGTAGTAAAAGCCCAGTAAAATGGCCTTGCAATTTCAGTGGTGATGATAAACTGCAAGACGCAGATAGCGGGAGCACTGTGCATGAGACAAACCCTCACTGTATGTTCATTAGCATCCCTGAAGGTTCCCATCTAACGATGAGCGAAACAGAGCACTGAGGCCGTTCTGCAAGCATGAGTGCCTTATTAAAGGATGGGCCAGGGAGCCTCAAGTTTGGAAAGTCTGGTCCACGAGGAGCTCACATTAGGGCTCCCACCTGTTTGTCTGGGTACTCATTTGACACAATAGGTCATGAAATGCAATATGGGCCTGTGCCTCCCTTTCTCACCACACAAAAGCCAAGGAGCGGATGAACTGCAAGATAAATGACCTTGACATTTGGATAGTCTCCAGATCGCTGTGCCATAAAAATAAACTATGCAAAGACAATCTCCAAAACCTCATAAGAGCAAAGCACAACTTCAATGGAGAACAAACAGGAGCAGCAATAAGAGAAAAAAGGTGTCTGGTTTTGGGCAGGATAGATATTTCCTAGAAGACTTTGATTGCTCGTCTGTGATAACTGTGAGAGTGTACAGGCCTGAAAAATCCTGCTCGATGTTTGTACTTACAATCTGGAGGTCTTGTCTTCCAACCAGCTGTGTACACGCAGCAGACAGGCTCCGTTTTCCACAGGAAGTACGATGAGAACCACAGGAAGATAAAACCAGCATGAAATGGCTGGAGGAAAGTGACAACGCAAATTAGGGTAAGGTTTATATAAATATAAAACCAAGAATCACTTTTTTTCTTACAATGAAATACAATTACAGGCAATATTAAGGAAATGAAAGGCAGAGCTGATTGGCAACTCACACAAAAAATACATTTTCAACCTTTAGGGTTTAAAAAAAATCAGTGTTTCATTTCTTTTGTTTGTTTGTTTCTTAAAATCTGAAAGTATTAATCTCATAATGTATCATCACCAAACTGCCAAACTTGTCTGCTTGAGGTCTAGATGGAGGAAACAAATCTTGAAGCCCCTTTGTTGTGGACTTCACCTGCATGGAGAATGGATGCTTATCTTATAAGTCAGAGGTGGATGCACTTTGCTGACCAAAGTTGCAGTTGTGATTTAGACAATAAATGTGCATAATTATATAAATATGTGTAAAAGCACCACAGAAATATGTTCTTGCAGGAAGTGGCCAGGCCTTTGAGCAGGTCCATCAACGGAGTGTGATTGACAGTGTGGGCAGGTGTGGCTGTGCGTCCGGGGGAAAGTGAACTGCGGCCAGCTAAGTGGGGCTCACTATTGTTCTCCGCGAGTCTTTGATCTCTCAGCGGTGGGCCAGAACCTCAGTGGGGAGTCCAGGCCGGGCCCCAGGCTACGGTTTGTATCGACTCAGGGGGGCTGACAGCACATGGCAGAAGATGTAGGAGGGGACTCCAGCTTCCTGTGATCGCCTCCATGCAGCTTCATCTCAACCTGACCTGCTCACTGAAGGACTGTGGAGGGCAGAAACAAGAGATATTAAACAGATGTTATGAAACATCACTGATGCTACTGTCTCTGAGTTAAGAAGCAGTTTACCTTCATTTTTACTTTCTTTCTTTTTGCTTTTTCTCCTGACAGACTAGAATGCACACACACACACACACACACGCGCGCGCGCACACACACACACACACGGCACATCTAAACTTGCTAGCAGCTGTAGAGATCATAAATTGTTCCCCACCTTTTCCTTACATAGATGGCATAAGCTTTTTAAAAATTTCCCCTAATTTATTTATTTTTATTTCTATAAAGCAATTAAGTTTCATTCAGTCATATAAATATAGACAGACACCCTTTAAAATCATTTAAAAAATAAACAAAGCATGCAAGAATTAAGTAAATCATCTCAACTAGTTTTATAAAATAAAAAAAAATTGTACAAATGTACAAAATAATGCTTGACACAAGTTATCTTTGACTGGAAACAAATGATCTTATTGTTGCAGTGTGGCAGCTGTGCATACAGCCCTTACTTAAAGCCAACCCTTTAATGAACCTTCAAGTGTACAGTAAGTGGACAGGAGTGACTTACAGCTAGAGAGAGTAATGTTTCTTTGCTGATGGTTCCCATCCTCTCCAGACCCTGCAGCAAAAGGCCATTCAGCCATTTAGCTCAGACGCTGGGGAAAACAACCAACACTGAAATAAAAACATTAGATAAAATGTTAAGAATAAATCAAAATATGTAGGAGTGTGTTTGTGTTGAGCTCAGAAGATGCAGCACATATGAATCTCTCCTATGAGTGTGTTTATTGTACGCTGAAAGCACATTCTCAGGGTAGCTGCAGAGCGGCGGATGAGACTCACAGCACTACAATAAATTGTGACAGTGAACAGGGCAGACTGGGACAGCCCCTCTTAGTCTGTAGCGATTGTGTTTCAGTGTGTTCTCCCAGCTCTTCCTGTGGTGCTCTGTGTTGTGGAGCAAAAAGCCACTGCTGGGAGCCGCAGTGGAAGAGATCAATTGTACACATTCCTGCCACCTGAGATTCAAGTGTTTCTGTAATACTGCACAGCTCAATCGATACTTAAGCGAGGAAGCAAGAGAGAAAAGCCCAGTCCATGTTTAGTTGTGGGACTACTCAAAGAGATAAAGCGTGTATTTACTTCTGTATATTTATATATTTATGTTTCCCACCTGTTAATAGTAAACATAAAAAATTAGTCATCATGCTTTTATCTAAACAACCATTAAATATATATATATATATACATATATATTTATTATTTTTATTTTTTTCAGACAAGTTTGACCTTATTTTTGTGAATCCTCAATGTGTTGGAATTATTTTTTTCTCCTCTTATTTCAAATATTATTTATAATTTAAAAAATCATAAATTACCCCTTAAATGTAATAATAATAGCATCAGTGACAGAATCAATAACATAAATAATAATACAATAAAAAGAAGAAATGCTGACTTTTTTTTCCTTTTTACAAAATTAAAAGTATATACATATATATATATATATATATATATATATATATATATATATATATAAACTTTATATATATTCTTCAATTAGCAGAGCAGTGAGAATGTGGAGCATTTTCAGTCCTTCTGATCCTTTGAAGGAATCTCTCAAGAGGCCGATGTACTGAACAAACAGAGCTCAGGGGAACAGATGTGACTGTTAAAAAGAAAGCAGGCACTGTGGGCAAGGATCATTTAGCTTCGACGTCTTGAAATATAAAACGTAAATATTGGGGATTTCGGCTTTGTGAAGAGGAGGGAAGAGCGTCGAGGATGCTGGACAGAAATGAGCAGATCCTGTATTGCAGGATGTGCAACGATGTGTTAAATTAAATGCAGCTGTTGAAATACAAAAGGGGAAATTTTTCAGCTTGAATTAAAAAAAAAATGCAGGGAAAATTCTTTCAAAGCCGTCAGAGGCTTTATCCGAATAACCGTGTGATCGTTTTGACAACTTCTTTTGGGGCTTTGTGTCAAATGATTAGATCGTCGCATTCTTAATGAAACGTACATTTCGTCAAAAGACGTCTAAAAAAGCCAACCGCATCCCCCACACATTAATAGTGCTAATGCTGAATTGTGCCTCCTTAAGTTTCGTGTCCTTGCAAAATAACGTGTTTCCCCGCTGAGACATTTTTTGATAAATAAATGGCAGGAGGGAACCAGTCTTGAATTTACTTGATTCAGAGGATTAGTGATTAATTTGTGATTCCAAGGTTTGGCAATGCAGGTGAGAACAAGGTGAAAACTGCGATCTTTTTAAATTAAAGAGCAGGGAAGCTTCTGCTGTTTGTCACTGCATAGAAAAACTGAAAAGAGTCGCACAGGCTGCACAATGGCCCTGGTCACAAATTATCCAAAAGTTTTTTTTATTCTTTTAAATGATTGTCAATGATAAGTGAAAAAATACTGTCAGTATATTTTCAATGGTATGATAAGTAAAGAGGGAATAAAAGCACACAAACACACAATATTTCTTTTGGAAAACTGATGTATTTGATTATTAGAGTAAAGAATTACAGTATCTTAGTTGTTAGTAGGTATTAAAGTGTAGAGAAACTGGACCCATAAAGATCTTCCAACTTTCCAAGAAAGTGCATGTAACAGTCCGAAGGTTGTCAAACCCAATATATATTTATATTTATAAAAACACTATCATTTTGTCCCCTGGCCATGATGGACTTCTCGTGTGAGCTATATGTACATTTTCTTGCGATGGAGTTTGTATTTCCACATCTGAACGTATTTACAGAAGCTTCAACACAAAATTTTGCACTTGATGTCAGTGAGGATGCTGGGACATAGCAGCAACATGGAAATCCAGCTGAGAAACTAAAGGAGAATCCTGCTCATTTGATTGGCTGTCTCAGTTCCAAAAACCAGGAAGTAGGCCAGACCGAACGTTCCCTTCTGTCTTGCTTTCAACAACACCAAAATACAAGCAACAAAAAAAAAAAGAAAAAGAGATTCAGGGAAAAAATATGGAAGTAAACAAACAGTAGAAAGTACAATACACAGAAACGGTAACAACAAAACAAGTTAACACTAAAGAAACCCTTGAAATGTAGCAAACTTCAATGTTTTGTCTTCCTTAAATAAAATAAAGGTAAATAGCAATCAAAAAGAAAGGAACTACAACATCATTTAGTCCCTTGCCTGAATTCATTTGTTTTGATGAGGGGAGGGAGGCATGGACACACAGATGTTAGACCATCTACAGAAGATCAGTGTACATTATTTACAGCAAGTCTGTTTGCTTATTACAGGGCTAATGCATCACATGGACATCAACAGTTCGGTTATAGCTACTACAGACAGAAAATAACTTAATGCCAAGGTAAGGTTATCTACCCAGATATTCTAAGTTTCAAAAGCACATTTGTAAGCACCCATACATACCCATTCTGGCTTTAAAACAAACAAAAACCTAACTGTTAATGCTTCCACTTGGTTTCAAGCAAGGTTATAATCACTAATAAATAAGCTCCTTAAAACTATAACATGTACATTGTACAAAAAAAGCAACTTGTCTTCACACTCGTGTTCGTAAAGATTCAATGGCGAGCAAAGCAGTTCAGTTGAGTTTGTCCCTGTCTTGTTCTCTTTCTTTCTCTTCTTCTGTGTGTCTACATATGTGTACAATATGCCTTCAGGCACCTTCATGTGTCTGTGTGCAACAGAGGACATACACTCTAATTGGTGACAATTTCTTTATTGTCCTCAATGAAGCGTGTGAATCGGAAGTGGGCCCCGTTCTCTGTGTTGGCCATTTTCTCCAAACCAGCAAGAGCAGCGTTGGGCTCCATGCTGTGTAGCTTGTCTAGGCTGCCGGTCAGGCCACCAATGGGAGAGCTGCCCCCATTTCCCACACCACCTGACATGGGTGGGATGCCTCCATTCTGGATGACAGAAATTTCATTTGTCTTCATTGCCAGGCCGTTGGAAAAAGCTGCAGCATACTGGTTCCAGAAACTGGCCGGGTCCCCGTTGCTTGCCCTTGATGCCATGTCCTTCGGGAAGATCTCAGGAAACTTGACTGGGTTGGTACCCAGGAAGGCCATTGGCCCATCCACAGAGAGCCTACGGCCACGTCTGGCAGGAGCACTGTTCCACATGTGTGTGCCCATGTGAACCTATACAGAGAGAGGGGGAGGAGTGAGAAATGGAATAAAAGGGAGGGAGGAGAGAGACAGAGCAATGAGAGGGATGAAAATTAGTGATGTTTACAAACTTGGCCACAAGAGCTGCACATGAGATGATGCAATGGAAAAAATAATAATAATGCTTAAATCCAAATTAAAATAGCTTCACACCCTGTGTGCAGCAGACCAGTTAGTTGCCTATGCTTTGAGAGGTACCAGCATGGTGTAAACATCTTGTTTTGGCATGACTGATACATGCTCTTTAATCTAAACCTTAATTTGCTCATCTCACAAGGGGATCACAGGGCTTGGGGTAAAATTACGGTGTCCAGTTTCATTGGTCTAGCCACAATTGCATGTGACATTTCACCTCTGCCAATAGCCTTTCCAGGACAAATTTTTCCCCTGCTTCCTAAGTCTTGAAAGACACATTCAAATTATTATATTTTGCACTATTTTATGTACAAAATACTACAAAACCATTCAGAGACTTTTCTGTGTTTCCTATAGTGGAGTAGCTTTAACTAAAAACACAGATATCTCTGTATGAAACCAGTTACAACCAAAAGCCAAAGCTTGATTTACTACAACCTTAGAAAATTAAAAATTAACATGTATCCTAAATTCCTCTCTAGGACACACTCAAAAATAATTGACATAATTTCATATTAACTTCACATAATTCTCCCAAGTTTCTGTAGATCATTGAGCAGGATCGTTTTCTTAGTGATTTAAACCTGTGACAGTTTTCACAGAATCTGTTATGGAAAACTACAGGCTGACCTAGCACACAATGATTGCCTCTGGTAATTAATTCTGTGCACTGAATCATTCTTAGCTGATTACATTCTGGAATTTCTACCCAATAATCATATTAGTTGTGTGATTCAGCCTTTCCACTAAGGTAATTTGTTCTCAGAGAGCTTTAATTAATTATACAACATTACCACCTCTTGATGCCTAGTTCTCTGACACGCCGTATAAAAGTAAATAGCTGCTCTGAGACTCATTTTTCACAAACATTCTCACGCACAATCTTTTAGGAGAACAACAGTTGTCTGGATGTTTCAACATTTACCTTGAGGTTTCCTTTGGTGGTGAAAGCTCGACCACAGATACTGCAGGCAAAGGGTTTCTCCCCTGTGTGGGTTCTCTCATGGATCTGTAGAGCACTGGAGGACGAGAAACACTTCCCACAGGTGTTGCAGAAGTGTTGTTTGGGTGTCCTGCGTGGTGGAGCAGCAGAAAGTACTGGAGAAGTGGAGGCAGATGATGTGACCAAGCCAGTGGGCATGTCCTTGTTCTCTTGGTGGAGGGCATGGAGGAAGCCATTGACTCTGGTTTGTTAAGAGAGCCTACAGAGATGAGGGAAGGGGTTGGGCTGGAGGACAGGCTTGTGTTTGATGGCTCAAAGAGCTGTGAGGGCAGGTCTCTCATTTGATGGGTAAGCATGTGTTGCTTGAGGTTGCCCTTGGTGGAGAAACCCCTGTTACAGGCCGTGCAAATAAATGGTCGTTCTTTGGTATGGCTTCGATAGTGAATGTCCAAGGCACTCTGACAAGCAAAAGTCTTCCCACAGATGTCACAGGATGTGTTCTTGATGATGTTACGCTCACGGAAGGGGAATATCATGCCCAAGGGATCTTTTGAGGGATTGACAGATGTCAGGTCCAGGGCTCCAATGTTGGAGGGGTGAGAGTGCAAGAGGCTTGCACTGGTGTGCTCCAAGGATAAGGCCCTATGGTGCCTTTCTTCGAGGCTGGGGGATTTGTGTGGTTGTGGCTGCATGCTAGTGGGAGATGGCGCCTGCATGGAGGAGGTAGATTCTGACACAGCTGGACTCCCGGCGCTTTGGCTTTCAACATCCCCTTCCAGAGACGAGGAGTCATTGGTGAGGCAATCCCCCTCAAATAAGCCATTTGCCATAGCCTTCATGTGACTGGCTTGTAGCTCTGTTTCATTATTGTGGGCATTCTCTCTTCCATTTTTCTCTTGCCCCTCCTGGCAAGCCATTTCAGGGGGAGCTGGGGAGTTACAAAAACTGTCATGGGAAGCATCAGCTGACCTGGGTGTGTCTGGCACACTGCTATCTGGGCCCTCCTCCATTCCTTCAATGTTGTCATCAGAGAAATTGTCCAGATCATCAACATTTCTCTCCTCAAATGAGCCAGTGTCAGAGGCCATGGACTCTGGGTAACTCTCTGGCAGAGGGGTGTTGGGGATCTGCCCACCCATGTGCATTCGAATGTGTTGCTGTAGAACCACAGCATTTGTGAACTTCTTCTGACA